ACAATACTTCATTTAAAAAAAATTAAACTTCAGAAACAAAAATCAAATATATGTGGTATAAATAATCAATAATTATGGATACACAGAAATAATCAATAGTTGTGGATACAGATAAATTAATCAATAATTGTAAAAATTAACTTTAAAGTAAAATATAAATATAAAAATTGTCAGAGATCGAGAATATTCACTCCTTTGAACAACATCAATATAACAAATCAATATTACAATTATGTCATTTGTCAAACACAGATGCGAGGAATACTTCATTATAAAACTGTGTTACACCCTACTGAAGCTTAGAGACAGATGGCCTATTGGGTAAAAATCATGACTGAATTGGTAGCTTAAGTACATTGATAGGCTGTTCCTTGCAGGGTTAAACAGTATTTATATGAGTGGAACGATGTAAAGAACGAGGCCGGAGCCCTTTATTGGCCATTGTGCCAATGATGCTGATGATGCTAAATCCCATTTGTTGAAGATCTATTCTCAGCAAAGGCAGTCATTACAGAGATTTCTTCTCTACACAGCTGGATCTGTAGACATTTACATTTTTAAAAAAAATCGAGGATTATGAACTGAGGCAATATTGAATTTAATTTTTCGATTGCCTACAGAATACAAAAAAAGATGAAAACCATTAAAAAAATTTTTAAATCACACGTCACCAAACGTAATTTCCTTCAAGAATCAGGTATTTGATATTTTTTCTCGAGAAACAGATTTGGAGCATTTAGATTTACTGATAAAGTGAAATGCACAAAATCTACAAATAATTGTTTTTAAGAAACAAGCAATTAAAAGTAAGACTGAGGTTTCCGTTTTTGTCTGGATCGACCCAACCCACCAAAAAAAAAAAAAAAATTACATACGGCCTTGACAAATTAGCAAACCAAACCTAGTTTATTACCTTTTTTAAAAATAATGTACAATTTAAAACACAAAAACACAGTTTACACACTTATTTCTCCCACGTTCACTTACTAATTGTAAATGATTGAAGAGTTCAATAATGTTGGAGATAATATCGAACTCCAGGGGAAGATGTTGACGTTACTATTTCGTCTCTTTCTCTATAAACTCGTCGTGTAGCTTGGTCTATGGGATGTGAACCTTGGTTTATACGATATGCGCCATGGTCTATGGGATGTGAACCTTGGTTTATACGATATGCGCCATGGTCTATGGAATGTGAACCTTGGTTTATACGATATGCGCCATGGTCTATGGGATGTGAACCTTGGTTTATACGATATGCGCCATGGTCTATGGGATGAGAACCTTGGTTTATACGATATGCGCCATGGTCTATGGGATGTGAACCTTGGTTTATACGATATGCGCCATGGTCTATGGGATGTGAACCTTGGTTTATACGATATGCGCCATGGTCTATGGGATGTGAACCTTGGTTTATACGATATGCGCCATGGTCTATGGGATGCGAACCTTGGTCTGTGAGAAGTGCACCTTGGTCATTCGATTATACAATAAGACATTTTCCACGAAGATTAAATTTTTCAATTGGACGTGGTTCATGGTGATTGATGTTTTCTAGCTGATATTGTCTACTGTATGTAGCTGGAAATATGGGAAATAATCCGTTCGAAATTTCATTTTCAGCAACAAAAAAAATAAATGTGCGGCCTTACAATCACCACATAAGTGTAAAGTAGTGTTGTAAACAAAGGCCTCAAATAATATTTTTTTTAATTTAATTTCTTTTTATTAATACTTATTTTAATTGCTCAAAAACGAAATTTACACAAAGTGCATTGAAACACTAAGATGAATAGTCAAAAGATTGGCGTCAGAAGAAATCCAGATAAATGTGTCATTTAGGAAGATATTTATAAAGCAAACATTTCAGAGATATGATTTTTATAAAGTTTTCATGCAGATAAATAAGAGTAAATAATCGAGTTATTGCTGAATTATAGTTTAAAATTAATTTTATCATTAGGAACAAAATGCACTCACCATATAAATGACCATTGCTTTGACCTGTGGTTTATTCTTGTTTCACTTTCTTCCGTGTTGCCTTCGGTCTGATGACACTTTGAATTGTAGTTGTCTCTCTTCTTATCTGGTCTAGACTCCAGTCTCCTTTAGCATTACAAATATAGCAACCGCATTTGTAAGTTCCTCGTAGCAAATAATAGGGTTAGCAAGACATACTATTTTGAAATTATGAAATAAAGACGTAAATGCTAACATATCGGGAAAAAAGTAATACGGTGTAACAGATAACATATTAGCAGCAAGCATATTAAAAATATAAAATAAACCGTTTTGGTATCTTTTAAAAAATTCAGTAAGCTATTTATTTTTACTAGAAATTATGGTTTGTTTATTAAATGTGTTTTAAATAAAAGGTAGAGATAATATTATTCACTTGCAGGTATTTTATCTTAACTTGATCTACCTGCAGGGCCTCTGTCTTGATTCATTGTGGAAGCCAACAAAGGAGATGTTTGAAATGAACTTGAGATCTCATGTTGTCTAAGTTGTACACAAGACATCAACGAGGTCGATCGCCTAGAGCGTTGAAAGGCTTGTGGGGTAACTTGATGAACAGCAGTGTGCACTGGGAGACTACTAACAACACTTGGAGGATTCATTAACGAAGTCTGTTCTCTATATTCCGGAGAATGTGTATTTCTGTTTGCTGTGACAGTTCTCTTTGTGCCTTCTTGAGTACATACTATTTTAAATATAGACTTAGTTATGAAATTTGGAAAATGTCAAAGCTGTTTCCAAAACCTAAATTTATTTTTTTTAAAACATTTTTGCCATTCTAAAATAAATAAATTTTTTTCTGTTCATAAAAAAAAAATATTTACAGTAATAATTTACACTGATACTAGAGATATATTTTCCCAGACAGATATTTATGACATTAAAATATATATTTTATCCAGCCGGACTCTTTTTTTTAAGAAAACCATAATAATTTATTTTGTGACAAGTTGATGACTATCATAAAACATAATATTATGACGTCATCAATAACTCCCTAAAATTATTTATGAACTACCCAAATTGTGTTATAGAAAAATATGTTCAAACAAAGTAACAATAAAATGTACTTACGTTTTAAGATAGTTCCCTTTAAACGAGGCTCCAGTCCCACATCGTCCTGTATCCACATTTCATATACAACAACATCACCATCATATTTGAAAGTGATGATTGGGGCTCCATTCGAACCCTCACCTTTCGGTAAGTTGTGGATAAGTCCCCTCCATAATCTTTCTTGGTTTTGTGAAGCTGTTAACATATGCAATAAAAAAATTTTTTTGATCTACTTAAAATTAATGGTTGAAATAAAAAAAAATGTATTCTTTCATGTCATCTCTATCGTATCAAAACACTTAAGCCACCCAACCCCCCACCTCCACCACAACCAAAACATATCCTATTTAAACCATATTGTAAAAAAAAATACTAACTTATGATGCTTTTTTTTTTTTTTGGTTGTAATTTACTTTATTTGTTTATATAGATTTAAAATGGGATCGTTTGGTTTTATTTTTTGTAAAATTATCTTTAAAATTGAATAAATTTATCGCGTAAAGTTAGATAACACATGCAATTCAAAATCTACAAAAATATATCACGGGTTATCTCCCTTAAAATGAAAACCATTAATATGTGGTCCATTGAATTTTACTTTTAGCCCCAAAGCTTCCCCTGTCCTCAAACGAGCAAAACAAATCCAACTCTCAATCTCTTACTCTCATTACGAAATGTATTTAACACTGAATAGTTTTATCAAAATATAAAATTCATTTTTTGTATTGCTTTTCTATATGTTTGTTTCTTTCTTTATGTCATGCAAGCACCTACCAGGCTGAACTACTTTACAAAAGCTTGTAAATCCCTTTTCATTTCTTATAAACCAAAAATGAACAGTTACAAAGAAAATCTCTATTTAAAAAGAAAATTCGTTTACTATTCGTTGTCAGAAGCCGTTAGTAAAGTTGAAAGTTAACTAATTTTTATTGTTGTTATTTCCATTCATATTCGTTTAGTACTCTCCCTGTGACTACAGCTTACCAGCATGGAGCACTTACATTCAAGGGCAGACAAATGCATGTAGCACAGTGGCAGTAGCACTTTAAAAGTTTGTTAACCCTTACATCAAAATAAATCTGACACAGTTCAGCACCCTTGTCCAAACATCTCGGTAGATTACAATTATTTTAGTCCCGGTTTCAAGTTCAGTTAAGTAAACATTATCATATCCTGTATGTCTTAGATAGTAAAGTACACAGTGTAATATTAGAAAATTGTTTGGTATCAAATTCAGTAATTACTGAACTAAAAGTCTATAAGCAAAAGCTTTCAATGTGTTAGCTTGTTTTACGAAACGTTCATTTATTGTAGGATTAGTCTACGAGCTACTTTGTGTTAATCCGAGGACTATTAAAATATAACGCAAAAATAAAATGTTAGGTCTCCCCATGGTTACCCAATAAAAAATAGTCCGTGATATACTCATGACTACGAAAAGTTGCCCTGTTGCTAAGTTGTATAAATAATTTGGACAAAGAGAATGAGGAAATGAATTAGATAATAAATTATAATAAGATATGGGGTACAATGAATATTCTTCTGATCTTGAAACTACACCACACACTGTTACTTTTAAAATCTTATGAGTTACTTAGTGGCGTACGTTGACTACATGGGTAAAAGCTCGAATTTGCGCCTGCACACATCCTATTATACAGTGTTGTAAATTAACAGTTGCACATATGCCAACTATCACCACATTGCTTCATTAGTAAACTCACACGTACTAGTTACAAGGAATGATTGCGGGGTCAAACATATGTCCTGGTTTGAACCATGGGTCCCAATTTTAATGACAAGCCCCAGTTTTAACCGAATGCTCCAAACTAGTCCAAGAAAATTAAAGTAAGCCAAAGCATCAAAAACATGTTGCAAACACATGTTCTTTCTTAAGATAAATTTTATTTTCAATTGTTATAGCGTAATCCTCATTTCATTAAGTTCGTATATTGTAGATACCTTCAGTTGCATTGACACGTTTAAATCTCATGTCCCCGGTACGGGATCTATATTCTAGATATTTCACTTCTTTGAAATCTCCGACCGAAACTCTTGGGCCCCTACCACGGGGGCAGCTCACCATGATGGCTTTGTTAACTAATCTTCTTTTTTCCTCTTCTGGTATTTGTTGGATAGAACGAAAGAAATCACCCTTTAAGCGTTCGACTATCTCCGCTATCTCCCTGGTCACTACTTGACATATCAATGTCACAGTTCTGTCACCAGGTATGGCGCTGTGATAAGCATGGTGTCCACGAATAGACAACACATCTTCACCATTTCCATTGATGTTATAAATAGAAACAGTTGCGTTTCCAGCATCGACGTCGTCATTGATTAGATCTCTGGTTGTTTGGACATAGAGCTTAAAGTCATCATAACTCTCCTGTGATCCTAATATATGAGCTTCTTGCGTCAACAAATCCTCCAGAATTCTTCTCCTGAAAGGTCTTGTTAGCAACGTCCCACTTCCTTGATGGATTACCTCCCTTGGTTCTGTCCGCCTGTCATCTGCTGCAGTTTCTCTCCTAGTTACCACGATGCTTACAGTTAATTTCTTTAATTGTTCCATGCATCTCGAAATACTTCTAAAACTATTTAAAAACATATCTGACTGATCAAACATTTGTTCGTTTTGGCTCAACAAAACTACGCCAGAGGGTGTAAATATGTTTACTTCAGGTTTACTTTCAGGTGTAAGCGTTTGATCTTTGTCTGAAACGAAATAATTCAGTGAAGAAATGTTATGATTTTTTAAAGACTTTCACCAAACAGAAGAAAAGCTCTGTTTAAAGTTCATAGAGATCAACAATTTGAAATTTCATACACCATATTGCATGCCTGTACTTAGAAATTTATCGCCGTCGACACAGAATTGGATGTCATCAAATTTGAAATTATTTTAAAAGAAAATTGTTAAAAAAGAAGTTGACTTACGGGAAAGATCTTGATCCAATACAGCTTCAGAACTTGCAGTTTCTGTCAACGTCATCAATAACTTCAGGTTGTTCTGTGTCATCTGTTGAAAATGCGTCCATTGGAGATGGTTTGCTTGATGCTCTCTTTCATCTTTGTGTATACTTGCTTTTAAAAATCTTAAATTTTTTGCTGAAACATAAAAATTTTTATTTTGAAAACTGTGTCCAAAGTGCTGCAAATATTATCAACTTCCATTGACTGCAAATTTAGATTGAAAACTTGGTTTGACGCAGGCGAGTTGACACTGTCCTGACCACGTCTGCTTCACGGTTGAGTGAACTGGTGGGTGGATAACCTCAGATCCACGCTTTTGAGTTGTATGCCTAGGTAAAGAGTTTAATTACTTCAAACGAATTGTGTAACCATTCGATGTTTGAAAAGTAAATGATTGTACTATATATATATATATATATATATATATATATATATATATATATATATATATATACATTGAAGAATACATTTGAGGAAAGACATTATATCGCAGATTTGTTCGGCTAAGTCGTGCTTTGGCCCACAACACGGTTGTGAAAAAAATTGACACTGATAAAAAGAGAACTCTGTTCTTTTTTTTTTTATTTTTGTCCTGAAGGGTTCTATACTTTTATTTCAATACGTCGCTGTCAACATAGTAAAATTTTTTTTTTTAATTTGTGTTATATACAGTCACATATTTAAAATTTAAAAATTATATATAATTATTTGACATATAAACCAAATTAATATGAGCTATTGGTTTAACATGTGGGATAAGTCAAATATGTACGGTGAAATAAAAATACTTGAGACACATTGAGTGTGTTAGCGTTCGTCCCGCTTACAATAATTCGGCTGGAACTAAAAAAAGCTGTTTCCCGAAAGAAGTAAGTGTTTAAAATGTGTGTGATTAATACAAATTATTGAAAGAGTGTAGCCATTGACAACGTGTTGTCTATTTTTTACCTTTTTAGCTACAATTAGCATAATATGGTACGCGAGTATTATCAAGTTCATGAAACATATTTTTAGTCGTGGCATATACACTAGTCGGGTGACCCAGACACAGCCTGCTGCTGCTTTCGTTCGTTCGTGTCCCAAATAAATGTCAGCGACAAAAAATGAAATGGATTATTTTGGTACGTTCGTTTGGAAGTTTGACATGAATAGAAAAAAAAAAAATCCTAAGATTGTTACTTTTCGCACCCGGGTATCAGATGTGAGAGGTTGGGATTAAAAAAACTAAATGTATTATAATTTAAAAATATTAATGCATGAATAAAATTATGAATCCTTCGCTTCTTCGTTAAAGCAAGACAACAGCATATTAAATTACTTTTCAAAAGAGATTGTTAATTAAATATAGGAGCTATTTTTTCCCTTTAAATCTTTAGATAGACTTATATTGTTTTAAAAATCATACAGAGTAAGAACTGAGCCACTGTGTTAAGCTTCTGTAAAAGAAATGTTTAACAGGAAAAAAAAAGGTTTATTGGGAAAACAAATAAAAATGAATGTAAAACTCTTAATGATTTATGTTCAGAAAGATTTATTTTAAAATATTTAAATATCTAAGAGTTATACAAATATATAGGGATTTTATAACTAAAATGAATATTTACCTTATGTCAGAAACATACTTATTTTTACCATCCCAATAAGCAGCTATTGATCTATAGATTTAACAATTTACCGGTCTGGTATTTAAAAAAACACAAACAACATTGTTTTAGCCTTCAAATTAACGTTTTAAAAATCAATTGAGTTTTTAAATCCACACATGTTATCAACTTCAAAAACTTTAAATTATTATTTTCATTAACACGTATTCTAAAATTGCTCTCTTTATACTGGAATATATTATGCTTAACATATTTTTTTGAATTACACTATGTTAAAATTTTTGGTGTTGTTGATGTAGCACTCTGTAAGCATCTCTAGCTGATATATTTGCCACCGACAGAAAAACGTTTTTTCTTTATTTTTCCACTTCTATTCAAGTTTAACAACCTCGATTCTTTTTTAAATGAGAAAACATTACTTTTGTAATTCCTAAATAGAAACATGAAAAATTATGAACAATGTAATAAAAACGAACAACAGAACAAGTGAACTGCACAAAATATTTTTTACAAACAGACGCGCATAATTTCATGTTCAAACATAAAAGGGATTGATGTAAAAATATATATAAATCAATCTTAAAAATTGTGAAATTTGGTTAACGAAGAACTGAATACGAACATCCTTGTAAATAATCACTAGTGTCATCAAATGTGTTACTTTGATTCTAAAAGCTTACAGTTCTTGCTCTCGTGTAGATGTTCTCTTCAAACGAACTGAACACATAATACACTGAATGTGGTCTGTTGAACTTTTTATAAGCCATGCATTTTCAGCAGGTATTTTCCCATTGGTCGCCCTCTCAGCCACTCCCTAAATTTCGACCAATCGTTTTGAGCCAGTTAACTAAGGCTGTCGTATTCATAGACTTCTATGATCGTTCTCCATATTATGTTGTCACCTCAAGTTAAACTTTGGACTGGTTGTTGGATTCTTAGGTCATACAACAAGCGACAACACGGAACGGAAAATTAGCGTTTGGGAAACTCGTTATCTAAAGGTAAATCATGGGGACACATTAACCCCGTAGGGCAGGTCATCTCATCAAGATAAACCAAACCAATAGCACTCTGGAATTTACAGATAAACATTATATGTGCCATTTTGAGCGATACATTAACATCTGTAATTAATAAAAAAACTTTAAGAAAGAGATACACGTGTTGAACACAAGCGATCATTCACAAACGAGACAATGTATTTTATAGCTGGGAGAATAAATCACAGTTGTAAGCAATGTTCTCTCTATGGTTTGCTGGTTCGTGTGCAAAATCATACAGTTGTGTGCATAGTTTTACACAATCAATTTTTTTTTGTGCAAAATTTTACAGCCCACAAAGACAAACACACACTTACATGGAATTTTGCAGCGCGGTTACTCAAAACTGCTGCGCGGCGCTTGTGAGATAGCTGTGCGGCCGCGCAGCCGCGCAGCTTAAAGTGAACATTGGATTCTTGTTGAGAACTCACTAAGAGCTTTTCAGTTTAATACCCAACACACTTTTTTTAGCTTGGAAATGATACCTTTTGGCTTTCTTTTTTTTCCTATAAATCAAATGTGTGATGTGTAGGAACATTATATCTATCTTACACACTATGTGATTGCGTTTAAAGGTTCTACTGGGTCTAGTCAATTGCAGGCTTTTTTTTTTACTGAATCATAATACACTGTGTGAATTATCCTTGACGCTGCATTCTTGATATGCATGTAGTTGTAACGTGCGTGAATAAAAATTTGAAACCACGACCTTAGCCAACTAGACCTCTTTCTAGCCTGGTCTTATTACAATGAACCGTCTTCATCTATGAACAATGTATTTAAAGCTATGAGTTCCTAATTGCATGTGCCAATGGCCCCATAGGCTTTAATCCGACCTGGCAACTTAGCAAGGAAAATTGGAATATACAAAAGTACACAATACATTTTTATTGTATTTTTATCTCGCTGAGTTCAAAATAACACATTTCTGAAAATCCCCACTTTGGAGACTGCTGCCCTTTTTAAAGTTCACGGCTTGTTTGGTTCAACTTTCCTCTTTAATGTTCTTCCCTTATTTTTTTATTTAACTGCGCCTGAGTAAAATAGAATACCTGAGTCTGGTAATATTAAACGATTCAATAATGGTTAAAGATAATTATGGTTCGCCTTTTTTAATCCATATAATTATTTTCTTTTCTTGCAATGGATCGAAAAAAAAAAAAAAACTAATAGAAAATGTTTAGACCCCACCCCCCCCCCCCCAACTTACCAATAACTGATCTCATTGCAGTAGACATGTAGATTCTGGCCACATGTAGATTGTTGCCATTGACACTAAAACCCTACTTGTCATGAAAGCCGCTGGACGCACTTGACCTTATCTACTCCAGGACTCTAAGCCATAGGTTAGTTTTAGATGCACCACACGTACACTTGACGGGGCGCAAGATTTAATGTGAATGCCCTTAATGGTCAAGGAAGCGGGTCCCGCACCATTTTCGAGTCAGTACCCCATTTTGTAAAAGGGCATTCACCAGGGACCCCCGAAACAAAATTCATTATAAAATGGAAGTAGAAAACACATCTCGGTATAATATAATTAATTATAATTTTAACCTACAACATATCTAATACGATTTTGGAAATAGTAAAAAGATAAACAGCTTTCAAATTAAAGGGATGCTCATTTCTAATGTTAATGTTTTCGTTTTATTAAAAGGAAAAAAGAAATGTGTTTAGAAGACACTGTCAAAATTTTCATAAGAATGCTAGAATAAAATAAAGTCTTCTCTTGGTAAGGAGAGCGATTAAGATGACAACGTTTTCCCTTGATAAGAAGAGGGAAAGAGGATAACAACTCAATCCGTTGATAAGGCTCGAGTCAAATTTAGAATCATTGAGGGCAAGTATTCCCGAACCGGGTTGTGGGAATATGGCGACGAAGGAGAAGTAAATAATCAGACTATTGATTATCACCTCAAGTTAAACTTTGGACTGGTTGTTGGATTCTTAGGTCATACAACAAGCGACAACACGGAACGGAAAATTAGCTTTCGGGAAACTGGTTATCTAAAGGTAAATCATGGGGACACATTAACCCCGTAGGGCAGGTCATCTCATCAAGATAAGCCAAACCAATAGCACTCTTGAATTTACAGATAAACATTATATGTGCAATTTTGAGCGATACATTGACATCTGTATTAATAAAAAAAACTTTAAGAAAGAGATAAACGTGTTGAACACAAGCGATCATTCACAAACGAGACAATGTATTTTATAGCTGGGAGAATAAATCACAGTTGTAAGCAATGTTCTCTCTATGGTTTGCTGGTTCGTGTGCAAAATCATACAGTTGTGTGCATAGTTTTACACAATCAATTTTTTTTGTGAAAAATTTTACAGCCCACAAACACAAACACACACTTACATTGAATCTTGCTGCGCGGTTACTCAAAACTGCTGCGCGGCGCCTGTGAGATAGCTGTGCGGCCGCGCAGCCGCGCAGCTTAAAGTGAACATTGGATTCTTGTTGAGAACTCACTAAGAGCTTTTCAGTTTAATACCCAACACGCGGTGGTCAAAGTGATAGTGCGATGCGCTGCGGTACCAAGACTTCAAAAAATAAATTTCAATCAGTCACGGGTTCGAATCCTGGTGCTGGCACCCCTACGGCTACGAGAAGGAAACTCCGACTTCAAAAATCCTCCGCTGCCTTGCGGCTATACCCTTCGGGAAAGGCTAAGGGAGTAAACCCCGACAGAAAATCAGGAAATGGAGCACCTACAGGCGGTCTATACATAAAACTCTTATGTACATACCGGCAGCTCCTGCGACGCCAACGGCAGCCAAGCCGCATCGACGCAAGTCGTTCCCTTGGTTACACCATTGACGTGGAGAGGGTGGATATGCTGTATGGGCAGCAGCTAATTCTCCATAATACCCGCCCAGGCTTGCATCACCTCTGGAGAGGACACTCCAGCGTCGCCGCAAGGTGTCGACAAAACACGGGAAGCAGCAGTTACCGGTTATAAGCCAAAAGCTCAATTGACGTAGAGCTAGGCGCCAGGGGCTGCTTCCGACGGTGGGAGAGACTACCAATGTCTCACTGGACAGCTACCGCCCGCCTCAAACTGGGCAGCCCCCAGTCAAATAGGTGCTATCCCGTCATGGCCTGCCTTCTCCACTGGGTGCGTGGAGATTAGAGTACCACTCAACAAGTGGGCCACTAAGCCCTGCACCAAGAAACACAAAAAAGAAAAAGAAGACCCCAGCTCTTCGAATCGCTAGCTGGAACGTGAGGACTATGTGTCCCGGCATCACTGATGACCCGCAGTCAATAAACGACACACGGAAGACAGGAATAATCGATAGAGAACTTAAAAGGCTAAAGATTGACATCGCTTGCCTTCAGGAGACCAGGCTCCCAGACAACGGTACACTCAAAGAGGCAAATTACACTTTCTTCTGGCAAGGCAGACCAACAAACGAACCTAGACAGCATGGTGTAGGTTTCGCTGTTAAGAACACTCTTACACCATTCATTGATCCCCCGTCATCAGGCACGGAGAGGATCCTCACTCTAAGACTCAGAACAGCTGCGGGCCCAGCAACCATTCTTAGTGTATATGCCCCAACTCTCTGTTCAACTCCGGAAGAGAAGGACCAGTTCTATGGAGCTTTAGACCAGGCAATAGCCAGCATCCACAAAGACGAGGCAATCTACCTCCTGGGAGATTTCAATGCTAGAGTGGGGAGCGACCACGAAGCCTGGCCCACATGCCTTGGACTCTTTGGAAGAGGAAAGATTAATGAAAATGGACAGAGGCTTCTGGAATTGTGCTGCTCACGAGGCTTGTGTGTGACCAACACTTACTTCAAGTGCAAGGATATACATCAAGTATCTTGGAGACACCCTCGATCCCGCCAATGGCACCAGCTGGACCTCATCATCACCAGGCGTGCACAACTAGCTAGCATCCTACTCACTCGCAGCTATCACAGTGCCGACTGTGACACGGATCACTCCCTTGTCGCCAGCAAGGTACGAATAATGAGGAAAAACTCGTACCACTCCAAGAAAAAGGGATGTCCACGTATCAATACCTTCTGCATGAAAGACCCTGCGCTAACGCAGCTGTTCACAGACAAGGTGAAGGAAGGTATCTCAAGGATGTCCCCATGCGTCACCATTGACTCGAAATGGACGCATCTCAGAGACACAATCTATACATCCGCAATACAGGCCTTTGGCAAAAAATCTCACAAAAACACGGACTGGTTTGATGAACATTGGGACGAGATGAAACCTGTCACTGAAGCCAAAAGGAAAGCTCTTACGGCTTACAAGGAAAAGCCTACACCCGACAGGTTGCATGCCTTAAAAACAGCCAAGTCACTTGCCCAAAAGGTTGCACGTAATTGCGCCAATACCTACTGGCTTAACCTCTGTTCCAGCATACAGTCCGCTGCAGATATGGGCGATGCAAAAGCAATGTACGAAAACATCAAAAAGGCAACTGGCCCCTTGACGTCCAAAGTTGCTCCTCTAAAGTCCAAAAATGGAGAAATTATCCAAGACCGGGCAGCACAGCTAAAACGGTGGGTTGAGCATTATCTGGAATTGTATTCAACAGTTACCACAGTCTCCAGCACCGCTCTAGATGACATACCAGATATGCCACTCATGGAAGAACTCGATGTCGTGCCCTCACAGGAAGAGCTGAGCAAAGCTATTGATAGTCTAGCTTGTGGAAAAGCGCCTGGGGATGATGGAATACCACCAGAGGCTCTAAAGAGTGGTAAGATAGCTTTACTCCAACCATTGCACGAGATTCTGTCCCTCTGCTGGGAACAGGGCTACATCCCCCAAGACCTAAAGGATGCAAATATAGTGACACTATATAAAAACAAAGGTGATAGGAGTGATTGCAATAATTATCGCGGCATTTCACTCCTTAGTATTGTAGGAAAGGCCTTTGCCCGTGTCATACTAACACGTTTACAGAGTCTAGCATCCCGTGTCTATCCAGAATCTCAGTGCGGTTTCCGGTCTGGGCGGTCTACCATAGACATGGTGTTCTCCATACGACAGCTCCAGGAAAAATGCAGAGAGCAGCAGATGCCACTGTACATTGCCTTTGTGGACCTTACAAAAGCCTTTGATTACGTCAGTCGCAACGGGCTATTCAAAATACTGGCAAAAATCGGCTGTCCCCCTCACCTACTTGCCATCATCAGAGAGTTCCATGAAAATATGCAGGGTACAGTGCAGTTCGATGGAGCCAAGTCAGAAGCCTTTCCAGTCAGCAGCGGAGTTAAACAAGGTTGTGTACTCGCACCAACACTGTTCGCAATATTCTTCTCTGTACTACTTCGATACGCATTCAAGGATAGCAGTGAGGGAATCTGGTTACACACCAGAGCTGATGGAGGACTTTTCAACACTGCCCGCCTCCGAGCCAAGACCAAAACGACAGATGTCCTAATTCGCGAGCTACTATTTGCGGATGATGCGGCACTAACAGCACACACAGAAATTGGTTTGCAACAACTCGTGTCAAGCTTCTCCAATGCCTGCAAAGAATTTGGTCTGCAAATCAGCTTGAAAAAGACAAACATCATGGCCCAAGACACTCGACCTCCACCTAACATAAAAATCGATAATGAAAACTTGGAGGTTGTGGACAGCTTCACCTACTTGGGGTCCAAGGTCTCCAATACACTGTCCATTGAAGAAGAAATTAACAGCAGAATCGGCAAGGCAGCTGCCACAATGGCTAAACTAAATAAACGGGTCTGGCAAAACACCAAGCTAACGGAGAAAACCAAACTGTGCGTATATCGAGCTTGTGTCATCAGTACACTACTGTACGGGAGCGAGACATGGACCACCTATACATCCCAAGAGCGCAAGCTTAATAGCTTCCATATGAGATGCCTGCGTCGCATACTTGGTATTAAATGGCAAGAAAAAGTGACTAATAGTGAGGTCCTAATGCGTGCGAATAGCCAAAGCATGTTCACAATCCTTAGTGAAAGACGCCTGAGATGGCTAGGTCATGTTAATAGAATGAGTCCCGGCCGCATTCCGAAAGACCTCCTATATGGTGAACTTGCTTCTGGAAAGAGGAAAACAGGTCGCCCACGTCTGCGATTTAAAGATGTCTGTCAAAGGGACATGAAAGCAGCCAAAATACATACAAGTGACTGGGAGTGTAAGGCAAAAGACCGATCTACGTGGCGCACAGTGGTCAAAGAGGGCGTCATGGTAGCCGAGGAACGAAGAATGGAAGAGGCTGCTGACAGAAGAGCTAGGAGAAAGGCCAAAAACATTTGGAAGCACGGAACTCGTGTGTAAAAACTGTGGTAAAGACTGTCACTCAAGGATAGGACTGCACAGCCACTCGAGAAAATGCAACCCAAAACCAACGGTGATGTACCATCGTCTCACGAGACGGAAGGATGCCGGAGAGACCCAACACACTTTTTTTAGCTTGGAAATGATACCTTTTGGCTTTCTTTTTTTTCCTATAAATCAAATGTGTGATGTGTAGGAACATTATATCTATCTTACACACTATGTGATTGCGTTTAAAGGTTNTATCAATCATTTTTTTTTACACAACCAAAGAAACAATAGGGAGATATGTGAAAAAGTCTTCAGGCATTAAAGAACCACCTGGACACGTTCCAGGCATGACAAAGATAAGAGAGGGAAACAATACCAGGAGGAAACCCAAGGCAGCATTTTCAGAAAAATTGTTGGCAAATTGTTATAACAGAAGTAACCCAAAATAAAAGGAAAGGCGTCAATTTTTGTGTGACATAACAATCACAAGTTTTACAGCTCATACAATGGGATACACAAGATATATGGAGTCTAAAGTCATTTTAACAACAATGTAAATTAACAATATAACTTGGCACATCAGCAGAATAATAGGACTGCACCCAATGGTTATTATTGATTATGTGCCCTTGTTAAAATATCTCACAGGCTTTCTTACCCTTACATAATTATGTTAATGAGGCAGCAAGATTAGTTGTGAGTAAATGAATGCTTGACATACTTTGTGTATATGTTATTGGATACATCACATAAATTTGTAAGTTGCCTTAAATAGTAAATAATATTTTCCAAAATATCTATAAATTATTTTTTTTTTTTTAAAGAGAGAAAAAAAAAAAAAAAAAAAAATAGAAAATTGTTTGGTCCCCCCCCCCCCCAACTTACCAATAACTGATCTCATTGCAGTAGATATGTAAATTCTGGCCACATGTAGATTGTTGCCATTGACACTAAAACCCTACTTGTCATGAAAGCCGCTAGACGCACTTGACCTTATCTAATCCAGGACTCTTAGCCATAGGTTAGTTTTAGATGCACCACACGTACACTTGACAAGGCGCAAGATTTAATGTGACTGCCCTTAATGGTCAAGGAAGCGGGTCCCGCACCATTTTCGAGTCAGTACCCCATTTTGTAAAAGGGCATTCACCAGGGACCCCCCGAAACAAAATTCATTATAAAATAGAAGTAGAAAACACATCTCGGTATAATATAATTAATTACAATTTTAACCTACGACATATCTAATACGATTTTAGAAATAGTAAAAAGATAAACAGCTTTCAAATTAAAGAGATGCTCATTTCTAATGTTAATGTTTTCGTTTTATTAAAAGGAAAAAAAGAAATGTGTTTAGAATACACTGTCAAAATTTGCATAAGAATGCTAGAATAAAATAAAGTCTTCTCTTGGTAAGGAGAGCGATTAAGATGACAACGTGTTCCCTTGATAAGAAGAGGGAAAGAGGATAACAACTCAATCGGTTGATAAGGCTCGAGTCAAATTTAGAATCATTGAGGGCAAGTATTCCCGAACCGGGTTGTGGAAATATGGCGACGAAGCACAAGTAAATAATCAGACTATTGATTCATACATTTTTGAGATTATTTTATAAATATGTAAGATTATTTTATAAATATGGTATTGAAACAATGAAACTTAATTTTTTTTTTTTTTAATGTTTCTGTTTTATAATAAAATTAGGAATAACAATACTGCAGTGGTATTGAGCTGAACGTAGCTGATGCTTAAAGTGGGCCGTGGACGACTCCCCACTGACAAACAAAAACATATTCCGGACATATGTATTTATTAATATTTTTGTGTGTGTATCTGTTAGGTCGAAAAAAAAAATTAACTTGTTCTTTTCTTGCTTTTAGGATTGTATTATTGTCTTTCTAATCGAGCAATATGATTATTATTTTTTTTTACGACTCAAGTCTTATGCTAAAATAAGCACTTTTTTTTTTTTCTTCTTTGCACTCAAGAACGAAATAATAAATAAAGTGAACGTTAACTTAAATTAGGCATTGGCTACAAAAAAAAAAATTTGTTTAAATTTTTGTTATAAAATAGTTAAATATTTTAACACATTTTCCGGGTTTTTTTTTGCGGTGAATAAAGTGAAGGAGAGTATGTACATTGCTATTGTTGTTTTGATGATTATTTCATCAATCTTTTTAAACAAGAAAAAATTGTGTAAATTTATGTATTTTATTTTTCATTGTTTCTAACGGATATGACGTCACAATATGTGTTAATCAGAGGAAAAATTAAATCATTTTCTTAGAGAAAACAAAGCAAACATATGTTTTATTATTGATTAGTTTACAATAACCCATATAATTTGAATGTTTCAAATGTATTGAAAATATTTTTTACATTGTTTGCTTTATACCTTTTAAATGTAAAAATATAATAATAATTTTTTTTTTTCAATAATTGTGAAATTCTTATTTAGATTTACATGGCAGTTAACAAATTGCAAAAGTTGTGAAAAGTTGCCGTTTTTTGGAAAAAAAAAAACGATATTCATTTATTTTAAGTTTTAATATCTAAAATTTGAGCTAACAGCTTCTCTCTTAAATTAATGTCAGAGACACATCTTCAGTTTTTGGCCTATGGCTTATGACATCTTGACAACTAAGATAATAGCAGCTGTCTGTGTTTAATTCCCAAGATCTATTTAAATGTTAAGCCTAGTCTTTAAAATATATGTATATTTTTTTAATCAGAACTGATAAAGGTTATACACTTATGAAAAATAAATGTATTATTCAGCAAATTTATCAAAATTAAACATTAACAGTTACAGAAGTTGAAAAAAAACAATTGAAACATGGTTTAAAAAAAATAATCGTGTAGCGCCTGTCAGTATAATGAAATAACGTATTATATTTCTTTTTTTTTCTCATCAGTCATTATTAAGCATGGCATAACGTCATTTGGGTGAAGGCGTGATAACATCATTGCACCGCAGAACTCGCTCATCGCTACATGTTTCTATCCAATGCATGATAAGACTTTCAACATACAGACCTGTATCAAGCTACCCTGAAAATAACATTTCTTTTACGCAACTTTCCAACTCTGGATTCTATTACACTGGGGCCCACTTTAACGTACAGTGTCAAGATTGTGGACGAATTCTAGATTTCCGTAAGATTGTTAACGATCCGGGTGATAAGAGATACCATGTGGGTGGATGTTCCTACACGAAAGTCTCAGAAACATTTTCCGGACACCCAGATGTTGACGCTTGCACAGAAAGAGTCACAGACTCCACGGTTGACGAGTTTGACCTTGATGACAGGTTTTCTGGAGTCGACAATCTGAGCAACGACGTCCGGAATAGCACACCGCTTCTAACAACGGAATCAACAGCTCTGAATAACAATGCACGCATTGGCATAAGTGAATCGATGGGAAATAATTTCACCTCCAACAACGTAGAGGTTGATGGATGTGGTGAACTTGGTCCGAGGTCCCAACATTTCTTTCTTGTACCACCAGAACATCGTTTGGCATCGGAATTTAATCTAATGTCCAATCAACGCACAGGTAAATCGATGCACTGATCTCTAGGATGAAAGTATTGATTTAATGAGGAATACTTTTGTAACTTTCAAAATTATTGTTGTGAAATGGTAATAAATAATTATACTGCATAAATGACGTTATTCGAATTTGAAATAAGAGAATATAATAATATATAAAAATCAAAACAGGTGAGCCTACCAGATCGTTGTCCAAGTCATCGTTAACTTCAACAGAATCTGTTTACTCGGCATCTTCATCTTCGTCTTCGTCATCATCTTCTTCACAAACATCTGGCTATTCTTCTGGTAACTATTTAAAATATAAGTTGCGGTAAATGATGTTTTATTTACATTAACTATCTCATCAATGTTTAAAATGATTTTAAATATTCATATATATCTATCTATATTCGAGAAAAGAGACTCTTTGAATTGATAGAAGGCATTTTAGCAGAAAGATCCGCTCAATTGTCTTTTCCTTTCAAGCCTAGAAATTTCTTTTTCTACTATTTATTAACTTTCCACAGATTTAACATTGTATTTCATATAGTGAAAACAACTTATACTTTATTAAATTTGATAATCTCACTTAAAAAGATATCATCACGGTTTTACAAAGTAGATGACGCTCAGACTCATGCAAATCCTGAAGTGGACTCTCCAGTGTTTAAAGTTCTCAGCAAGCCGTCATATCCGGTTTACATCGCCTACGAGAAGAGACGAGAGAGTTTAACTGAATGGAAACATCGTGATCTACTGGATCCCAATACGGTAGCGGCAGCCGGGTTTTTCTACGCTGGTAAACAATGCACTTTTTATATGATAACTTAAAGCGCTTCATATTAGGGGGAAAAAAACTGGGCTACAATGAATTGGAGATCTTTCAAAACATACGTTTTATTACTTTATTTTTTATTTAAATGTATGTATTGTTTAGTGTTGTATTGTCTGCCGAAGAAGGCATTTTGCCGCAACGCCGGTTTAATTGTCACCATTGTTTTAAAGGCCAATTATTGATTGTATCATTAATTATAAATACAAATAACGTCTGTCTAGGCTTTATACATGTCCATCATATTTAAGATACAAGCAATGGAATCTAAGTGTAAAAAATTTGATATTTTAACCATTTGTAAGTTTTATTTCTCAATACAACGTTTAAAAGAAAAAGTATATATTCTTGTTTACTAATGAAAGTATTGCTGTTTGAATAAGATGTATTGCTGTTTGAATAAGATGTATTGCTGTTTGAATAAGATGCATTGCTGTTTTCGACCACGCTTTGTCTTGGTAACAGGCTAAGCCGACTGTGTCCGGTGTTTTCAATGTGGACTTGGTCTAAGGTCGTGGAAGCCAGGTGACGATATCCATGAAAAACACAGAAAACACAGACCATCCTGTCCATTCTTACAGCTACTGAATAATTTGAGACGAGACAAAGGAGGAGATGACGATGTCAAAAAGATTGGTGAGTTCTCTATACCAAACATATTTGATTGCGCGTTATATTTTTTTCGTCCCAATGATGTCAAATCTTACCACAATAATTTTCAACAAATAAGCACCAATGATGTATCGAGTTTAGTAGTTTTACAAAACAATTTCATGACAAATATAAAGCAATTTTATTTTCTCAATCTTTCAATAACTTTTGCTTTTTAAATGTTTTGCTTTTACAGTTAACTTCAATGTTGTTGTAATTTAGTTATTTAAATGGTATAAGTCTATTCTTAAACACAATTTACCCTTAACATTTCTAGTTTGTTTATAAAACTTTAACGGATAAACTGGTCTATTTAGTATGTCATATTTCCACCACAACGCTATTTTTGTCGTAAATCAAATAACAAAATATCCTAAGAAAATGTAACGAAATTTAATTATAAATTTACAAATTGTTTTGGCGATACGAGAAATGATAGAAATGCGATCAAAATGCAATGTAGATATGTTTATCTCTTGTAAAGTAACACCAAATGTAAAGACCATCAGTACTGAAGTAGGATTACTACAATCTGAGCACAAGAAACTGGCTGAACAGGTGACCTGCAGGGTATGTAACACAGCTCAAGTCCAGGACTTGTTTCTACCGTGTGGTGAGTTGTACGCGTGCAGTGACTGCTCTAAACTGTTGACACATTGTCCTTCGTGTCATAAACAGATCCTGGCCACCGTCACGGTCTACTTCACCTAAGACTGTTCTTGTGCAGGCCAACGCTTTAATCTTCAATTGCGAATAGTCATTAAATTCCATTTTGTAAATAATGCACTTATATATTATGTGTTTTGTTTTTTTTTGTTTTGTTTTTTTTTTTAGTTTTTTAAAATGTGTTTTGGATTCGACTCTTAGACATTTGAAATATTCACTTAAGATTGTTAATGAACGAATACGTGATTAATTAATATACTAACATCTGCAGAGCTTGTTTAAAAGAGATTGAGTTATAACTAATAGAATTATTGAGGATAAGAAAATGGCGTTTCATATGAACAAAAAACCTTTATCAGAAAACGTGATCTTTTCTGAATATTTATTTTACATTTTATCACAGACACTGTACAAAAAAAATTGATTTGTTAATAAACGTCAGACATCATTATATTGTATTGTCTTATCGCGATTAATTAAAAAAAAAATAAAATAATTTATTATCTGTTTCTTATTATGGTATTTTTTGTTACATTTTATTTCAAGATTTTGACATTTGTAAATGTGTACATAATTAAAATAAATTATATCAAAATATGTGTAAATATTTTATTTATTAATTTAGACCATGCTGATTAAGTTTAACATATTTTGAGTAATCATGATTGTGTTTTATTTATGCTGATTGAGATGGCACAGTGGAGCTTATCCTGTTGATAAATTGTTACATTAAATTGTTTAATTTGATAATAGAAGAGTATAATAATTCCATGCCTCGTCATATTTACAATAGCTACACATCGCTACACTTCTTGAAGATCTCAAACAAGGAACTACGGAATATTACTTTAATATTATTTTTCCCATTAACAATATTCTATAAACATGCTTGTCCTGATTTAATTATTTTTTTGTTTGTATGCAATGGCTTTAAATTTAATCCAACATTTTTATCTGGAAAAACTTACTTTATCAACCATATTTATCTAGTGTCTGTTATCTTCACATAGATCGTTGTTAATCATTGAAAGAGATAAATTTGTTTAAATTCAAGGTGAACCAAAAGACCATGATGTTTTGTATCATTTATGATTGAAAATTCATTTTATTTATTTTAATTCAGTGATAGTTTCATTAAAAATTATATTATTAATTTTGACTCTAGTTATGATTTTGTAAAAATAATTTTAAATTGGCTTAATTCCCATGATTAGCTGTAATTTAGCACACAATGCACTATTAAGTCGTCTAACAATCTGTTTAAATAAATTGATAATATATTATGTGGATACTTGACAATAAAATGTCTTGAGACAAGTGTCTAAAATCTATATTGAATTAAATACAGTGCACTTGACACAATTTATTTACATTAAATATATATCAGAACCGCTAGAACTGAAACATGTTAACACATTTTTGCTTTGAATGAGTCCAAGATGTCTGCGCCGTAGGAATTTCTGCATCCAGTCAAGGAAACTGTAAAATTGCTGCATTGCATGGATATCAAATATAAGATATATTTACACATCTATGACATTAGTACACAATTATTTAATTTTTATAAATGTTTTTCAATACAATTTCTTATGATTAATATTTGGTATTTCAATAATAGTTTGGTAATCAACGATTAAATTACCATTTTTATTTACGGAAGAAATCTTGGGGACTATAAGGATGAATAAACACATTTTTTAAACATAAAGTTCATTTTAGTTTATGTGCTTATTGATATGTGTTAAGGGTTATTTGAATTCAATGTACTGTACTTTCTCATTAGAATATTATTAATAGTCTTTAAACCATTTTGTAAATATTCAATGTTAAATTATTTTAATGGAAGTGCAATGTTTAAAAGAGAGCACAAAGTTGCCCTGTGGTTCTATTTGTAATTTGTCATAATTATGATTTAAGGGAAAAAAATGCTTTATAGTACATGTTGAGGACTCCATATTGACTCAAAAAGATCTAGCAAAATAAAAAAAAATATGTTATGTTTTTTTTAAATGTTTGAACTGCATATGCTAAAGTCAGTCTAAACAAAAGGGATAAATGCATAGGAACCTTCAATACAATAAACCAAAAATACAACAACAAAAAAGAGACCATATTCAGACAATGATTATCCCCATTAAAAAATAAGAAAATAAAAATATAGGCAACAATTAATAAGGTGTTTGTTTAAAAAAAAAAGATTGAAAACAAAACAAGTTGTGGGCTTACACTTACATTACTAAAATAACACTTTTCAATTTATTTCAATATTATGTATTCTTAGAAAGGTAATCGTGTGATTGTTTTGTTTTTTTTTAATCTTGAAAGAAAATATCTTTTGTGGAATCAGAAATAACTCAAATTTAGAATAATTGAAATTAGAGTTTAAATTTTGCTTCATTAACAAGATGTTGGTAAATGATACATTTACAAGAGTTTAGTCTCATATTTACACATATACATTTTTTTTTTCTGACGTGCTTTGAAACAAAAATCAAACATTTGGAGATTGTTTAAATTGTTGCATACCGATGAATGCTAAATGGACACGTGAATTTTTTAAACTTACGCTACTTAATATTATTATATCTAACCACGTCAACTTCTATCATATTGACTGTCTTTTTATTTTAAACGTAAAAACTCCACCGAAAAAAAATCCTATAATCACATTGTAATTAATGTTAATAAAGGTGTTAATTCTATTGCTAACGGATCCTCACTATTATTTGCTTAGCCATTTTTATTGGTTTTACGAAATAGTGGATTGGTAGTGTGGCTAGAGTTAGGGCTGTCTCGGTTGGGGCAAAATTTTGCCGCGCCGCCTATCACAAGAAAGAGGCATTTGGACAAAAATTCCAAACCACTATAAACAAATTAGAGCCGCTGGAGACGCCCCAACCTTCCTTACTCTACACCCTTCGCCACAAATATTAATAAATAATATATAACTAATAATAATAAGGAGTAGTTGTTTCTATTTGGAATTAGTTCATTATTCACTTTATTCCCCTTGCCGTAATCGTGCTATCATAATTTCACCAATCCCGTCTCCTTATTCGTAACATGTTATTTAGCCCACCACAGTTCTTCTTCTACATGTTAAGGGCCCACGATCAAGTTATGGAACGGTTGTAGAACTCGGCCGTATATAAAGGGAACTAAACACGTTGGCTTTCTGTAAGGGATACTTACCTTTAAAGAGGGCTTCACATGCATCAGTCGAAATGTAACTCTGTGATTGTTTCCTGAAGATGCCGCTCATGTTGTATAGGTGAAACGGGAAGAAGGCTATGTGAAAGGTTCAGTGAACATCTACGGGGTATTGAACTAATTTAACCCATCCCCGGTCGCAGCTCATTTCAATGGTGGTAAAAGCAGGGGCACATCGGATGTATCTATCATGGCTCTTACTTATTGCCAGAGAGTAAAGAATGAAAACACACTTATTCCAATCATCGGTACCATATCAACATACACCAAAACATAAGTACCAAAAGATCGTTGGACATGGTTGTAATTGATTAATTTATTGAGTACCTTTTTTATCAACATACACAGAATGAATAGAGTTATCTCTAGATGATCCAACATTTATAGTATCAGTTATTGTTGTTTACAGTTGTACATTAATAGTTCCGGTACCTAGTTTATTTTACCTTGATTGAATGCACCACAGAATAATTTGGGACGCACGGTTTGGTTCTGAACAAGTTAACTTCCGCTTCTCTCTGTGACCTAGATCACTTCCAGATCTAATCATTGACCTACATTTATGTTATGGAGATTTCAGAAACGATACGTTTTCTACATCTAATTTTAATTTATAAAATGTATATGTATATTAAATGTGTTTTTTTATTAAAGCTTAACACATATTGATATATTGACAGAAATTGTTCGTGTCTAATTAATTTAATTTTAATTAACATTTTCTTGCCCCAGCGTGGACTTATAAAAGAAACTTAAACACACCGCAGGGACCTTGACAAGACATGGGATGGACATCCTTTTCTCCTTAATTGCTAGATCTTTTCTTACCCCCCTCCCTTTACAAATTTTACAACCAATTACCATAGACTAACTTTTCCATCCACCTGTGTCCATATTAAGTCTCTAATCTACTAAGGGTCTACCTCATCCCTCTTGCCGTCCTCTCTGGTACATCTCGTGTGCTACATTACAGCTAAGATTTAATTGTAATATTTGTGCTAGACTTTGTTTAATCACCGAAGAACGCTTCTTGTGGACACGTTTGTTATTTTGTTGCGCTTTTTTTTCATGATTTACCGCACTTCTTTTTTCACACAATTACCTATATTCATTAAAACATTTGTTTTCAAATATTAGTTTCTATTCTTTATTGTGCAAAATTTTAATTTTTTTTTTTCGCTGAAGTGGTCTTTATTATATTGGAATCCGTCTTTCTGGTGTAGAGTTGTAGTTTTTGGTGACTTGAAACACAGTATGCAACAAAAAAAAATATACTACTAAATATAGCAGCGTTGAAAATCACGCTCTAATCAGAGCTCCAATCGTCACGTGTTCCATTGAGTCAAAAGAAAGATACTTTGGTGTGTCTTCGTTTGCAATGATTCTCTCTACAGGGGAAATGGTATTTTTTTTACCTCAAAAGTTACTTCATAATTTTATTTCTTTTTTTTAATCGATAGATATTGCGGGACTCTCATGGTTACTGCAGATATAGTTCGATATGTCTGTACATTCATCTTCCACATAACTGCTAACTTTATGGTGCAACTTATTATTCCTTTCATTACATGCGAATTATAGAGTTAAGTTTTGTTAATGTTGGTAATGAATCAAGCTTTACATGACCGTGACATTTGCAAAACCATCTCAACAGGCTGACCGCAGTCCCCGTGTCTCATTCGAAACCGACGATAAATGATCTTGCTGGCTGCCGTCCATGGTTTGCCTTGTAAAAGTTATGTGGTGGGGTGGGTGAATATACATTGCTGTTCTTTATTTCATAAATGTATTTTATTTTAATGTCATGATTATGTCTCTTTTGATAAAATTTTGAT